GCAGGGATATGGTTAATTTTCACAAGGAGCTGGAACTGGACACAGCAGGGAGAAGGGGAGTCTGCTGATCCAGACTAGCCAAACCGGTATTCCATACCATGTGGCTGCCATGCCCAGTCCATAGCTGGGGAGCTGGTTGGGGTAGGGGGCAGGAAATCACTGCTTGGGAGCAGACTGGGGTCCAGTCGGTGAGCAGTGGTACATTAATCGTGTTTTGTACATTCCTCTATTAGCATTTTTGTTGTTTTCCTCTTTCCTTTGCTGTTCTATTAAACTGCCTTTAGCTCAACCCATGAGTTTTGCCTTTTTCTTCCGATTCTCCCCTCATTCCAGTGGGGGCTGGAGGGGGTAAGCGACGACCATGTGATTCTTTGCTGCCAGCTGGAGTTAAACCACAACATAAGGAGAGGAAGAGGAGAGAAAGAAAGGAAAAGACAGGAGCAACATGTTAGAGACAAGCAAAAGATCCTAAGTTAAGGAAATTCTAAAACATTATCCACCTGGGCACAGGGCAAGGCATCATGCAGGCATGCTTGCGGTGGTTTGGAAAGCAGAACAACACCAGGTCTCCCAGGTAACAACCGTACACTGTGAGCAATCACAGCACTTGACACTGCAAATCCATAGGCTGCAATTTGTTTGGGCAAATGACTCAGCCGCAACTGATTAATCAAATACTTATGTCTCTTACACTCTCAATTAGCAAACTTAGTACAACCATGATCGATACAAAGACTATTAGCAGCCTCTCCCCCTCAGATACACTTCCCCAATTAGCTTCATTATTCCTATAAACACTTGCTGGCCTGTCAATCATGTCTATCATTGACGTTTTGATATTTCAAGACAACTGTTTGGATGATTCAGATAATTGTTAAAACCTGTATATATTGATGCTGCTAAAGGTTTCTCCAATATTACAAATGGGTGCGGTGGGAATGCCCAAAATAATGACCTCATCCTGCAGTACCTGAGGTATAAACAGAGGAACAATCCCACAGGCACCTCAGTTGCAAACTGCATGGAGATCTGCACTGCATGGCTAAACAGGGGAGGATGAAAAATGATCACCACATAAACTATAAGAATGAAATGACTCTAAACCAAATAGAGCTGGCCTATAGGTCTGTAAATCCCGTTTCCAAAATTTGAGTTCTCTGCATTTTAGCTTGGTGCCCAGGGTAACACCTGCCTATAGAATAGCAACAGTACTTAAAGGATTTCTTTTCCTGTCTGCAGCCTCCAGTGCTGGGGTCACCCTTTTGCATGCCACTGAATGAACATGTCTGAATGAGTCTGCACACCAGAAGACGCGCTGCATAGCAGGCAGGTCATGCACTCAACAACATGCAGGCATCCCATTGCCTCAGCTACAATGAGTGCCTGGTCACCTCTGCCCACAGAGAACGGGTCAGACGTGAGGCTGGAAAGAGCACGGTTCCTTTGCGTAAACAAGCTTTGACCTCAGCCAAATAGCTTAGGACTGTTAATAAAGAAGAACTTTGTTAGGCATTTGTCATGCTTGCGCTGGCTGATGAATAGAGGCTGAGAGACGGTGTGGCGAAGGGAAGGCTGAGGAACCAAGCCGCCCAAACACCAAGGGAGGCCTGGAACTGTGCAAACAACTACAGACAGACCTGGTTCACCACAACAGCTCAAAACATAAGAAGGCAAAGCAAGATGCAGAAGATCCATCAGACACAACTAGACATCAGGGAGAAAAAAAACCCTGGTAGTCCAGTCCTGCACTCATCTTTTCCATGACAGCAGGACCAGGCCCCTGTCCGCTACCTAGCCAACCTCTAGCCAGCCAGGGCCTTTCCCCTCCTGATTTTGGCTAGACTTTTCCAGTGGTTTTGCTCCCTGGCTTTGCCTGCTGGTAACACTGACATTAGACATTTGAATAAATAATAATTAAAACAGACTGGCATTGAGTTTTGCTGTGAGAAGCACTTCTCCACCACAGGGGAGTAAGCTGCTTGCCAGTCACCCACAATTTTGTTTGGCAAAAAAAAAAAAAAAAAGATTAAAAAAATAAACACAGAGTACTCAGATTTGCAACGGCTACCTGTCCCCTGTATATTATTTCTCCAAGAACTACAAAACACTGTTTGGAGTGATTCTGCACACAGTATTTTCCACCAGCTGCCTGTGGCCTGAAATGCCAGGGATCGGAATCGGGGTCAGAAGCCCCCTGACACAGCAGAACCACAGGCACGTTTAAGCACATGTCCGACTGCGTCTTGCTTATTTTGCAGATTGGCAATTCAAATGAAAGTTCATACAAGAAACAAGCATTGGATTTGGATTTAACTACTTCAAACATTCCCAAAGCCACCCGTGGGTGAGTCACAACACCTCCTGCTACCCAAAATCTTTAGATGTTTGTGTCTAAAAACGGAGTCAGCAGATTTACCCTTCACAGTCAAGAGTGATACAAGCCAACAGTGGTATAAACCAATTTTTCTATAAGCAATAACAGCTCAGCTGTGAATCACTGGAAAATAGTGACTAACCTCTGGTGGAAATTAGAACTTGTTGCCTTAGCCACAATTTTCTTTCTTACCTCAGAAACACCAGGAACAAACTAAATCTGGTCTGTCTTAAGTCTGCACCCAGGAGGAAGAAGAACTAGAACACTGATAATTTATAGCAATAGCTTGAAAGGAAAGGATGTGATTAACAGGTGAAAAATAATAATCTTATTTTATAGCCTCAGTTTCTGCTAATAAATAAGTATAACCATTTTTTGATTAGGCTTTTTTAGACTAGCTATTTTCTACTCTCTGAAACTACAGATTGTGCAAAAACACTGCAAAAATTCTTTCTTCGGTGTACAAGAAATGTGGAGAGAAAAAAAGGCAAGAACAATGTACAGAATAGATCTGGATGACAGTCATTCCAAAGGCAAAATTATTACAGGCTATTATCTAGTTGTCTGGAGGAGCCGTGGACCAGCTGGCTGTGATGTTCTGCTCAAAGTTAAACACAGACAGGAAACCGCATGTCTGATACTGTAAAAATCGTTTGTCTTCCTGCCATGGCTAACCAGGCAAGCAACCCAAAGGGGCTGTTTTCATTTAAAAGAAACACTAATCCACAACAATAAAAAAGGAATGACAAAGCCTCAACTCTCCCTCCTCCCAACTGGAGTTAATGCTTGTGTTTGTGAATGAACTGGAAATGTTACAAACTGAAGTTTTACACTACTTTAACTTTTATCTGTAGTTATTCACTTATTACATGTGAATGCAAGACACAGTTTTCATGAGTCACCTAGAGTGCTTACAGCACATGACCAAGAAGAAAAAGCTCCACTCGGAAGAGTGAAAGGAATTTGTGTAAAAAGACTGGGTTTTAATTTATACTGCAGCTCCTTTTAGGCTGTTCTGAAACAGTGAGAGGGGCTGCAGAGTTGATAGGCATGAAGGCACTTGATGTTCAATTTATGAAATGGTTTTCATAAACATACACAGAGAAGACAGAGATTTGTCAGAGTGGTTGTATTCAGCTACATAGCTGCAGGAGAAACAGCTATAACATGACTAATTTATAACAAATTAGCCAAAATCCACAAGGGTGTGGTTGCTTTGTATAAAATCTCTAGACAGTTGATGTAGACTAAGATCTTTTCACTGGGAACACATTATCTTCAGCAAAATCAAGGCAATCTGTTAGAACTAGGTCCTGGGTCTTCTACCTGTGCTCACATCAACACCAGTATTTACTGCAACTCCTTTAAAGCCCACCCAAGTAAGGGTTGGTTGTACAACCATGGATCAGCAGTCAGGTTGTCTGGTTTCAAATCATGCTTGGGGAGTGGATGAGGAAGAGGGGAGGAGGTGGCACAAGATATGAATAGCCGGGGCCAAGGGAGGCAAAGACTTTCTAGCTTGCCTTTTACTAATCTGGTGTGGTTTTGCAACCTAAACTAGTTAGCCTTCTTGGAGGACTGGTAGGTGGGACTTGGAAGCCACTCACATAGTTGTCCACCTCAGTACAGTTACACACCATGTTTCCCAGCAGTAGAAACAGTGTCCCAACCCTTCACTAACTCAGATAATGAAGATTCTATTACATCCTTTTCTTAAGAGCTTACAGATGATAAGAATGAGTGCAATACTCGTTTAGAAGTGGGTGCACACAAAGTTCTCTATATGAGGCATCACAATTACCTGTGAGAGACATGACCTAGTCTCAGTTACAGAATCGTTATGGGATCCACCAAGTAAGAGGAAATAAAGTGAGGTGTGCACGCGCACACATGCACATCTGTGTGTGCAGCAAGAGGTCCACCAGCGCCGTACACACCTGCACTGCTTTCACAGTATTTGCAGGGGTCTATATAGGCATTCATGAAGTAGAACGAGGACAGGTTGTGCACTTTTGATTTGGTCTATGCTCAGATTTCACCGGTTTAACTGAACACACGTACACAGCCTTCTGCCGTAGTAAGTGTGAGGCAGCATTCTACCAGTGAAGTAACCTTCTGAGCTACGTCACGCCCACCACCAAACAAGTGCAGATGGTCAGTTACAACAGAGAAGCTGACTTTAAATTCCCATTCTACCAACTTATTCAGTAGTATCTGTATATATAGATGTCACACTATGGCACTATAGGCTTTTCTAAAAAAGGCAAGACTTAAACTATGACATTTGCCTCTTGTTTATGTTTTATAATGTAATTAGCATATGTTGTATTTTGGTGTGTCAACAGAACAACTCTAAACATCTTGCTTTCATCTTTGTTGTCATCAGCTTTTAAGTTCAATGTCTTTAGCTGAGCCACAGACTTGCTTCAAAAGGAGGACAGCCTGGCAAGAAGAAATAATCTCTGAACATGGAAAAGGTTGAGATTTTGCAAGACTTGTAAGAGACCAAAATAGCTCGTGCCACTAGAACTTTTCCTCCACAAAATGCGATTCCAACATTCATTGGTATGACAGTTAATACTTGCAAGGTTTAGCCTAGGAATGCAGCGTAAATTATTAAACCTACCTGATAGAAAAATGAGCATATCATTGCATTCTTCACCTGTACAGGAACACATGAACATTAGTCCCCCATCATCCTTTTTTTCCCTCATCACACACTGCTCTGAGCTGGAGTCATCCAACATGTGACCATACAGTGCTGTCTGGGGATCATGGCATATCGTTTCTAATGTCACATTTTCATCATTCTGTCTCCTAAAAATGAAAAGGAAAAAAAATTGAAATCAAAGAAAGAATATTTTACAAAGAGAGCAGACAGAACTGCGCCTGCCCAAAATTTGCCTCTTTGGAGAACTCAAATGGGATTTAAAGAGTATCATATGTTCTTCTCCAGCTTTCCTGGACGGAGTAAATTTGGCTGTGTCTGGGCTCCTCACACTGGGGCACTTGTACAATGGCACAGCTACTCCTGTATCATATTACCACTAAGCTCCAATGAGTGCCTTTGAAAATCTCACCCAGAATTATTAAACTAATGCTCAATGAACTGCTGTGAACTTCAGAACATAGTTTTGGTTTTTGTGGTCACTCTGCAGACAGGAAAAATCTGTGGGAAATTATGATAAAAACTGAATTGTTTCCTCAAAATCTGAGGAATTTCTAGTGAGTTGGCCTCCTCGTTTTGCTTTTGAAGCATACGATCAGCACAATTTCTGCATTGAAGGAGTTATCCTTATAATTTAAAAACAAATCAATATCAGCCGTAGAATTGTACAAGACAGAGTTGCCTCACTGTCGGAGATGTATTTACAGCTGATAATCTGGACCACATTCCTGTGTTTTATCCTGGTCCACAGATTTTGTTTTCTTGACACAAGACTCGGAGGAAAAGACCACTGTAAATACAGTTCTCAAATCATTTGCCCTTTGGATAAATTGGCATGAAAAATCCAGAATGTATCTTAAATTGCACTACAGCCACTTTGTATGGCAATAATAGATACTGACCACTTACTAAAGGAGCATAGAACAAATATGACACAGCACACTGGACAGATCCTGCATTTTAAGTTTCTGCTGCCATTTATGCTGAACATCTCTTCACGTCAATGGACACAACTAATCCACCAATAAATTAATTATGCCTTTCTGTAAGTGCTTCTAATTGTGTTCCTAAACCAGCAGCAATGTTGAAAATACTCAGTTCTGTTCTTTTGTCCACTTATGAACTCATTAAGAATGTTTCTGGTTTTCTTTGGTAGGATTGGCTTACCATTTATGGAAGGGCAAAACCCCAGTTTTTAGACTAGAATGCAAGTTTAGAGTCAACAAATCCTAAAAAAGTATTACAACTCATTTTCATATACTCTTGATTTCTTTGAACCTAGACATATGCTATACAAAAAAGCAACATGCCTACATCAGAGTCACCACATACACAGAAGATTTCTTTTTAACATTAAGATAAAGTATTTCTACCTACACATGGCAAATAACTCTCCCGTGATTGATCTACATAATCTAGTTCACTATGAAACCTGAGAAACAATTGCCTGTCTTCAGCAAATTCCACCACAATCCTCTGAGTCTCAAATCTGTTTCTACTCTGAGTGCTGTGGGTCGATGCAGCATAATGGTTTGAGCAAAAACATGCGCCTCTTCCAATAACAGCATAAGATAGAACAGAACTGCTTTAGAAGAAAAAAATCCCCAGAACATTTCATATCAGAATTGTTGTTAACCTCAAGCAACTCTCAGTATGCTGAGCACAGATATGAGTTGGAAGCGAGACAGCAAAGCCTGGTGAGGTAGCAGGGACACTCCGAATATCAGAGCAATCGAGGAAAGTACTAAATAATGATGAATGAGGGTATGCTCCCTTTCCCACCTGTATGAAGAAATAACTTACCATATAGCTACACAGACTTCACTATTATTCTCACAGATAGCAGTAATGTTGCAGTTGCTCTTGCACGGATGTCGGTTTGAGCAGGTTGTTACTTTGATGTCACAAAACTTGCATAGGTTTGGCATTTGCAATCCACTTTCCTTATTTCTGTCTACAGGTGACATAATTTCAGCTTGAGAAAAAAAAAAAGAGAAAGAAACTCAATAATGGTAGATTATCAGATTGCGTTATAGCTCATTATGAAGATAAGGTTTTCATCAGCAGCAAATATTCCCTCCCACCTTAAATTAGAAAATCTTTGATCTTTCACAGCTACCAATTTTCTTTACAACAGAGCAAGTGCCACAGTGTCAAGACCAGGTTAATCAAAGTGAAATTTGAAAAGTGAAATCAACTTATATTGACTTTAGAGGGAGCAAAAGGTGTTTGTAATTTGCACAATCAAGCTTATTCTGAGTCCAGTTTGCGCTGAAATAACTACCCTGCAGTTACCCATTTGCATTTTGCACAGGCAGCATATCTGTCCCCCACATACTATATATTGCACCATGGTCTGTGTGCCAAAGTAATTATGGATACCATAGTGGGCATGCACGTTAGGTGGGTGACATCATTATGACATGTTTGCTAGCTTGTCTTTACTAACCTGAAGCATAACCTAGGTGTTGTCCTTAACCGAATTACTGTCCACATAGAAAGACACGGAGTTGGAACTGACTTTCAACTTAAAGGCAGATGGTCTGCCAGAGGCTGAGGGTGAAACTCAAACTGGAAATGCAACAGGGCATCTGTAAAGCTCATGTAAGGCTACTGGAGTCTTCCTGGGCAACTCAAGGGAACTTGAACTCAAACTAATTTGCAATGACAGCCTGTCTTGCAGAAGTCTACTTTGACCCAACAGCTACATTTCTGCACGCAGGCATTAAAGAATTACTTGCTTACTGGTTGAGTCTTAGTACTCACTATGTGCTTCAGTGTGGTAGCAGTGAGGGAAGAGATATTTTTTTTGTCCCAGTGTATGAATTTCAGGAAACATATTTTTAGATCAAAAACTATTTTGAAAAGCCACTCTGACTACGAGGAACAGAAAAGGCCAACATAAACTTTTTTTGTAAGGCTAAAATGAATATGCAACTATCTGAAGTGGAACAGACTATCTACAACAGTTTCAGTCTGAGTCACTTTGTAATATATTTGGAAAAGTAGGTTGAACCACTTTAAGGAGATATTTGGCTTCATATAGCACAGCCCTTCTCTTGTACCCACCTGTGTGTTAAAACTATGTTCATATTGCTCTCTGTGGCCAAATGTTGCTAGTCAACTGAAAATAGGCAACCTGGGATTCGTAATTTCCTCCTCCCTCCTCCATTAGCTGAGAAATCAATTTTTTCCTTCTAGAACTTCACTATTTTCTACCATTAGAATATTTTATTACAGGAATTACATATACATGCTTTTTCCAGAAGGAAATAAAAAGGCCTCGTGTTAACATTTCAAATGGATTTCTGAGCCATTGTGCTAAGAGAAAAGTCTTCTCTCTCCATCCAAATCACACATCCTTCTCATCACTAACACGCTCTAGTACTGACCTAAGGTCTCTGATCTTACTGCATTTGTAATCAGTGGCAAAACTCCCAATGACTTTAATGGCATAGAAGAAGGTCCTGTACAAAGGAGAGGGTTATGGTGAGCTCACTGGTGGCACTCACTGGGTGGAGAATGCTGGCAGTATGTTACAGGCTGGCTCAATTTTAAGCCCCAGGTAAACATTTCTTGTTCTTAATTATTTGCATTGCAACAACTCCCAGAAGCCGTGCAGAAGAACAAAGCCTCATTGAAGTAGGTGTGGTAGGAACTCAAAAGGTCAGGAATCTAGTGTTCTATAAAATCTGTGTTAATATAACCATCATTATGGCAAATTGCTCCTCTCTTCTGGATGGTACCTCTTATTTACCACACGTTGAAGAGAACCTAATAGCTGTATTAATTTATCTGGGTTCCAGTAATGATCAAAACAACCTGATAATGAGGGATGGCCCCCTCACCCAGCAAGTGCCAATCTATGGTCCTAAAAGCCTGGATAAGCAATACAGACAAATATCAAGGGAGAGATGAAGTGACTCACCCAAGTTCACACAGGAAGCCTGTGGCAGGGTGCCAAGGGGCTCAAAACTGAGCACTGGGGAAAGACACCTGCAAAGACGTGAGCTGCACCTACACTACCTTCAGCTCTGAGCTCACGTGGCTCCGTGTTTCACGGAGCAGCCATGTCACGACGGATGCCTCTGGCACGGACACAACTCAGTCCTCTCTGGTGCCCGCAGCACGGGAGCCAAAAGCCACAGGAAGGCGGGTCCTTAGGTAAACTGTTTCAAGCACACTATGTTTGCTGAGAGGCTGGGCTTGTTCCTGTGCCATCCCCGGCCACGCCAGGGTCTGCCAAGACTCACCCACTGGAACAAATGGATGAAAATATGTTTGGACCTCTCCCAAGGAGGGATCTCCAAATCAAGCGATTTCACTTACAAAAAAAAAAAAAAAAATTTATCTGCAAAGCAACAATCCACTGCAAGGTCATACACATTAAGTTTCTAAATTAGAGTGACAGGCTTTAATTAAATTACTAGCAGAAGTTTGGGTAGTTAGGGCCACCTAATTTCTGAACAGGTTAAATTACTGGCAAAAGCTAATGGGGTTTTAGGACTTCCAGAACTGACCACGCTTGGATTTTCTCCCCAAAATTCTTATAATAAAGGCTGACAGTGCAGTGCCTCTCTATTCATGCCTCTGGCAGTTCGAGGTATTGGATAAACTGCCCAGGTGGACACACTTTCTTCCATGCTTCAGCACCTATGATTTAAAGTGAAACTGCACTTTACTTTCCCTAATATTGCCACATGGCTCTAACAAGTGTTGGTGTGTTGTTCATTAGCACAGTCTGGCACTGCACTAACCCACCTAGTTCCAAACTAAGGACAAGTTTGACTTTCCCCTGTCAGGGTGATGCTGAAATCAACCTCTGCAAAGGTGAGATGAAATCTGGAGTCAGATGTGAACCTCAACATCACTCTCTTCTGATCACAGGCTGCTACTAGACTCTGAGGACTTAGAAATCCAGGAAAGATTGATCTCCTTCTAAGTCACATGAACTGAGACCTATCTCTAATCAACAAAATCCTGTCTGGAGGATGACAAGGTGGTACAGTTCTTCTCTAGGGAAGTGTATTCACTCATTTCCTAAGGGGTCCACAAGCAATATGTGGTTCATGACCAGCAAGATTGCTCCTTTTCTTGTAGTCACTTGAATGTCAATCTCTAAAAATACTTCACTATCCTGCTGCACGCATCATATCCCATGAGCCAACACCTCAAGGTTTTCTCCTGTTCAGAAAACCAAAGTCACTTGAACACTGAGGACAGAAACAACGTTTCATTTTGTGTGAGAAAAAAAAAAAAGTGGATATAATGGGACAGTCAAAGGAGAAAATACAGATTTGCACATCTGAAGGAAGCTGTCCTAAAATGTGTGCTTGTTTCCTAAAATTTGAGTTTTGCCATCTACTCTCTAATGTTAGTTTTCTTATTTTGACTTCTACAGGAAGCCTAATTCTAGCTTTCCTTGCTTGCTTGTCCATTGAGAGGGCTCCAAATAAGACTGTGGTTTCTTGGCTATGAGGCTTTCAATCAACCCGTTCAGCACAGATCAGTCATCGTGGTTAAAATGCATGGAACATGCAAGCCAACACGTGGGCTGGATATTATGGAAGAGACACCAGAGCAGCCACATAAGAAATATCAACTCTACGGATTCTGGCAGAGCCAGGCTTGCAGGACAACACTTTTACTCTGTGGTTCATGTCTTTTTGATGATTTCTCAGGATCTTATAAACATTGCACCTCATCTAAAGTCTATTGTCTGTCCTGAAGTTGTTTGCTTTGTGTCTGTTTGTAGATGTGTAAGTTTCATGAAGGCCTCAGGATATAGTTTGCATTCCTCTTATTTTTTAGTATCCTTACAGAACTCTCAAAAGCCAACAACATTTAAATAAAGCCTAAACCAACATGCTGTCTTTTTGGGAATATTTACACTGGAAAACTTTATTTATGTCTTAGGATGCATTTCAGAAACAGCAGCCAATTTCTCTTACTCCTATCTTGTAAAATACTGTTACTGCATTTCACTTCTCTCATCCAGCGCCTCTGGCACATGTATACATATAAAATTGCATTGCTGAGCAGATAGATCCCATCCCTTTAAAAAAAATAATTGCTGAGGGAGATACTGGATGGGAACTCAGCTACTCAGCTGCTGTGAAATAATTCCACCTGATGGGAGAGACTTGAATTTAAGACATTTAAGACTTCGCTACATCATGGATATCTGGAAGGAGGAGAATGCCTTTATCAGAAAGCCTTGAAGAAGATTGTCCTTGTTCTCCCAAAGGGCACAGCACCACAATTTCATATCTTAGTGGCTGGAAGGCACAGTAGCTGCTATGAAGAACGTCCAAGCTGCATTACCTTCTTATCCAACAGAAAGACATCAGGCTTTGCCAGGAACAATACTAAACAGAGCTTTTTTTTTTATTATTTTGCCTTCCACCCCCAGTACATGATCTATAACCTCAGCAGAACTTTGATAGTGATGGGGACACTGCAAGCATCATGAAAGTGGAGAGGTGATGATGTAAAACCAAATTCTTTGCCTTACAAATATTGATGAATTAATTGCAGGAGGGAACAAGTAAAGGAAAATGCATGATCCAAGCTTTGCTTTTAAGACTGGGATATATCCTGATGGTTATTCTTAATTATACTGATTATGTTCAGTGCAGTAACACAAGGAAGAAAAGACAGAACCATAATCAACCCCAAAGATTCAAAAATTATGAGTTAGAAAATCACAAGACTAGCCACAGAGACCATGGAAATAAAGGAAGAAAAAAACTACACAACCAAAACCCAACCAAAAAACTGCTGGGTTGTCCTTTAAACTGCCATTGCTGCCCGGACTCTTAGAGTGCATCTGAGTCATGTTTTGAATCTTTGGCCATGGAAGGGTGGAATTACTACTGTCTAACTTAAAAAATGAAAAGATAAAAATAAAATAAATCACTGGAATTCAGGAGCTTGATCAAGAAAAATGTCACATATCATATGACTCATA